TGCTTCGGCAGCCTCGAGTTGTTTCGAAGTTTGAATCTGGCAAATGAGATTGAAATGCTCACTAGCCCCCACTCTGGACTCGGTGTTGAGGGCCAAAGTTGCTGGATTTGTAGCCATTGATGGGGTTTTCCGAATTGCTTGAGCGATTTGCCCTGCGGAAATTGGTGGACATTTGGACATTGGTGTTGCTTTGAAGAGTTGAAATTGCTGGATTGATTGCATTTGATGCCATGCGACTGGTGTCTCTGTTGTCGGCGTAGGTGCTCCAGCACCCGCGGGGACTTGAGATTGTTCGCCATTGAGCATGTGGGTGTGGTGCTCTGTCGTTGGGCATGGGCGTGCGACAAATGTGAGAGACTTTGGTGGGTGGTGGCTCCCCCATTGGGGCGCACTTGCCCCGGATGCCAGCTGCCTAACGTCGTCTTTTCGCTCAACCCGCAAACAACATCACCCTCACCATCCTCACCTTTGAAGTCGATTCACCATGGCTCCAAGGGATCTCTCAAACTCCTTGAACCCAACACCTTCAAAATCTCTCAATTCAACCTCCGCATCCAATCTCCCTCAAGCGATTCCTCCAACAATGGCACCACAAGCGTCCAGAAGCAGCAGCAAACAACCTCAAAGTCTCCTCAATCAGCAAATCCCAACTTCACAGCAATCCAATCAAGACAACCAAGACCCCAATGCCGTCGCGCAACAACCCATTGCAGCAACTGGAGCAAACCGAATGCACAACGACTTCACCGCCGCGATGCAACGCGTTGAGGGCCTCAAGCGTACGTGTGATTCTTTGCTCAGATCTAACGTGCAAAAGGCTCACCCTATTACTCAGATTTTCTTGGTCATGACGAAATGCAAGCCCTCCAAACAACAATCGAAGAAAAGCTCAAGACTCGTCACGACAAAAGCCTCAAATCCGTGAAAGACAACTTCACGGAAGAGCAGTCCATTCTCGTTCAACAAAATGCTCGATTACAAAAGTCACAACAAGATCTCTGGGAACACAAAAACAAGGAGCTCGAGCAAAAGAATCAAACACTCAACACCAAGAGCCAGGAGAATGAGAAAGAGGCACAGAAGCTCAGGGAAGAGCGTGCGGCACTTGACAAAGAGAAGGCAGACTTCGCAACTGAATATGCTCAACACAAGAAGCGACTTGAAGATCAATACAATGAAAAGCTTCGCGAGGATACGAAAATCGCCCGTGACACAATTGCTTGGTTTCTTGAGGATGCAATGCGGACTCGCATCCGTATTGAAATGGAGGCCACGTACGGCGACCGAATTCGAGGACTGGAAAATCAATTACAATCGGCAAAAACGCTCGAAGATGTGACGACTCAAATCAAATCCGCCATGAACTCAGTCCAAGCACAATCCACAAGGACGGTCGAGGACATGACAGCCCAAATCAACTCCGCTTTGAACTCGATGCAAGCACAATCAGCAAATGCAACCAAAGACGTGACAACTGAAATCAACTCTGCTATCAACTCGATTCAAGAACTTGTCACAGAAGCAGGAAACGACTCGGAATCGTGGACAGATGCCCTTGCGAGTGCTCTCAAGCAAATAATCGGCGACCTCTTCACCAAAGCCGACAGGGACAGAAAATCAAGTATTGACTCATTCGTACAAAGAACGAAGCACTTGGTTGGCAACGTTTTGGTCACACATAAGCAGTCAAATGACGACAACTCCGAGCGCACCAACGGTCATTTGGACTCTCACGCCAACGCTGCTCAAGATGAGTCAGCTGGTCCTCTACAAGACCAACCCCGGGCACACAGGGTGCAATCATCACCAAGGGAGGAGACTCGGTGGCCAATGCACCCATTTTCCGAGCAACAATATCAACATCAAACAAGACCAGGAATCCCCGACGGATCCGCATGGTCATCTCAAGACCAAGGTTCCCAAGGAAACAGGACAGCTTCTTTCAAGTCTCCTGAATCCATGGTGCGAAGACCACAACGCAACAGACAAGATGCCCCAATGGCCTCCGTCTACAACAATCTCCCCAAGGACTACACTCTCAATGCAACAACTCCAGCACAGCCACGACACAGTCCAGCCTCATCTAACAGCAATCCTTTCAATGTACCCAAGCCCACGGCAGCAAACACTCCAACCCAAGATCAGCAACTTGACAGCTTTTCTTCACCGAGAAATCAAAGTCCCGCAACAAACGGGCACGCAACTTCTCTGATACAACAAATCTTGGGCAAGAGAGCCAGGACTGAATCCGAAGCATCCAATCTTTTCACTCCAACCTCAAGCGATCGCGCATCAACCAACCAAACAGCAAACCCCCAAAGAAAAAGAATCAAGAACACATCACTCCGCCTGTCGCTCAAAAATGGAACCGAGATTCTGGAAGAAGACGAGTTCGGCCAACACAATCAAACCCTCCTCAACAAGGCTGCCGCTCAATTGAACACTGTCTTCAAGGCCGGAAAAAAGACCAGCGAAAAAAGACGGTACCGGTCTTGGATAAGCACCCAAAGCCAACAATGTTTACAAACCTACGTTTTCGGCAAAACAGCAACAGCTTACAATGGCTGGGAAGCCGATGAGCTTCGCCAAACTCAATGCAGAGACTGCAAAAGGAACGACAAAGTCTGTATCATACTTCGCAATGTCAATGGTGAGCCGGAGGCTCTGGTTTTGCCGCCAGAGTAACTACAATTTTTGGGGGAGAACAAGGGACGTTTGGGACTGAAAATGTGCGGTCAATACTCAATCCACGCTCTCTATATACAATTTGTTTCAATCCAAACCCCCCATGTCTTTCCGCTCGTGTTCTTGTGAGTTCCAAAACTGGTGAGCGTCGGAGCATGCGTCGCCTTGGCGATCGTGAGGTCTTGTGGGAAAATCAGGGGCAAATGAGGTTGGCCCAGAGGCCATACTCTGGACCGCTGCAGCGAATGTATAGGCTACCAAGGTATCTTGAGAATATCATCAGTCACCTTCTTTTAAAGTGCGAGAGATATGGCTGCTCACGGCAGGCTGTGTAAACTTTGGCTACGCAGTGACTTTCCGTGAAATGGTCCTTCTCCCGGCTACCAGTGCAGGATGCTTGGATGCCACCAATGAAATCTGCTCCCATCGCGCATGCAATGTTGGAAGGGTGCTAGGTGGATGTGCTCATTTGACGAAAGCAAAGAAGATCGATGGTGGGGCACTTGGATGAAGTGGGGCAGAGTCTGGACGCGTGAGCAAGAGGGAAGGCCGCAGCGGAAGATGTAGGCACCCAACAGCCCATGGAGGAAGGTGCGCCATGTGAGAGACTAACAGAGGTAGGCTCGCGTGGAGAGGAAGGCGCGAGGAGGAAGTCGCACGCGTCAACAGCCCACACACCTCTATTTATCTCTCCTCTCTCTCCAATCTTCCACTCAACACCACCACCCTCGCCACTCGGTGCAAAAGCAGCATCCCTCAACCCCACGCTTTTCACGATCATGCCTGTTGCAAGACCTCACAGGCCACAGACGGCTGAATGCCGACTCAGCGAGGAGGAATGGCCAGCTCTCACCCGGACTGCTGGCCCTGGCACAAATGCCAGCCATACTGTCCAGAATTTCAGGAGCAAGTAAGCAATCTCCAACTCAAGAACTTCCGCAGAACGACGTAAGCTCACCGAACTTTCGCACAGCAACTGGTTCAACGTCTGTCTTCGTTGTGGGCTCACGATGCACGGGCATTGGATGGCTTGCCGCAAAAAATGCCAGTGGTGCAACGGAAGTGATCATGTCGGAAAACCTTGCGCCTTCCAGTCGGAGGATTTCTACAGGCAAAATACATGTCGCTCGATAATCTACGGACGAAGGGTACAGGCCGATGAACCCTACGACTCTGGTTGTCATGGGAACTATTCGGTACAGGAGCAACATCAGTACATGGACAACGGGGATGAAGACACGCACTTCGTCGATGACCCACCAGTACCAGACACCAAAATTGATAAGGACGAGCTCCTTACTGAAATCGAGCTGCTGAGGGAGAATGTCACTGCAGCTCGAGAGGAGAATGCTCGGTTGCGGGAGGAAGGTCGCAAGTCTCTGGCTAAACTCGATCGTTTGCGGGAGCAACATCGCCCGTCTTCCGCCGCAGATCGAGCAGAGGTCATTCGTTTGCGGGAGCTTTCCGCCGCAGATCGAGCAGAGGTCATTCGTCTGCGTGAGCTCTATCGCCAGTCATTGGAAAGAGAAATCCAACACATACTCGACAAAGACTTGAATCGCACCAATCTGCAGCTGAACGAAGAGCTCGAGCGCAGTAGCGCCCAGCGTCGCCGCCGGACAGGACAGCAGTCAGTTGACCAACGAGGTCCGGCGTTTCAACGACCGCACTGAGGACAACTGATAACAACGCCTGAACCTCGAAGATAACGATACCGTCCCTGACTCCGTTCCGGAAAGTCAAGTGCATTTACGAAGATTTTGCGCACGCTCCGACAGTCTTCTGCTCCCCTTTTCGTACTTGGGAGTTGTTCGAGAAAAAGGCTGCTACTGGAGCACCGTGAGGATGGCTTGAGAGTGATGGAAGGATTGTGGGGGATGGCGCGTTGAATGAATGGCTCGAACAAGCATGCGGCCGGGGACATTTACCAGGAAAGCTGTTCAATGAGAAAATCGAAGGTCTGAAGGTATAATACAAGAAAGCTGAAGACCAAATCCTGGGCCTGATGGATGTGTTCCATGCATGACGATAATTGATCAAGTGCTGCATGTTATGTCTGCCTATATGAAAGTCTCAAGTCAGCCTCTGTATTGCAGTGGATTCCAGTCTTCTTACAAACCTCAGCGCGAAAAGTTTCTGTCTTAATCCTACGTGTACGAAGGCTCCCTGTGCCTACGTCGTATGGAGAGTCTTGGTGCCTGTCATCGTCCTCTCCCGAGTCCTTCATTGTGCGGCCTGCACTAAAGGACTGGAAACCCTCCTTGCACAACGATCAGCTCAAATACTTCAATAGCCATCCCTCTTGCATCTGAAAATCCATCGTGGTGCAGTGGTAGCATACTGGACTCTCTCTGGCAGCTTCAATTCAACCAATTTCAACCAATCAACAATCAACTCAAGCAAGTTTGCACCAATCAAATCAACACTCAATTGCAATACCCAATCAAGCTGCGCAGAGAGAGTTCAGAGACCCAGAGTTCGATTCCTGGCGATGGAAGCCTTCTTTTTTGGATCCTGTCGCAGCTTGGAGGGAAGCGTCATGGCGATGGCGACTGCCAGACCTTTTGGTCAGGGTCCACCAGCCTGCAACATTCGATAGGCGTCGGCCAGTGGCGTCAACGAGTTCAGGAATCTCCAATGTCAGTCGTGCTTCTTTTGGCCTCGATGCCATCAAAGACGAATTGATGGTCGGAAAGATACCTCATGAGGAGTGCATGAACGCTTGAATGCTCCCTGTAGCCATCCATCAGGAGAGAAAATTCTCTCCATCTTCAAGGCATCAGGAGCTTGATCACTCCATGTCTCTACTCAGCAACAGAAAGTCTCGGAATTGGCAACTTCTTTCGTCACCCACTGTGCTTGCAACTCACCTGCCTCGCGTGGCGAGGCGAAGACCTCAACCACATCCTCGTTTCGGGCATGCATCAGCTCTTTCGACTGGAAAGTAGAACAGCTCCGCTGACAGCCGCTCTTTGCGCAGGAACCTCTGCTTGCTTTCGAGGTGCCTCGACTTTCGTCACCCTCTTGAATGACCAAGCTCCCTCATCGGAAGACGCTCTTGACGTCAAGCAGCGAGCATGCCATCATCCCATTGGCACATCGATAGCATCTTCGATCGGGTAAGCGCAGCACCATGGCGGCTTACCTACCATTGTTTCTAGCTTCAAGCGTGCCATCGCCTGCGTGCACGCTCGTCACCCCGATCGATTCTCCGCTCTGAACACAGCAAACCTTCGAAAACAGCTTCTCAGTTTCATCCCCCGCCCTTACAATCGACGACTTCTCTGTATCCCGCATCATGGCCTAGGAATCTGGATATTTTTGACATTGGCGAAATTCAGGGGGTCGCTGGGGAAAGGATGGCGTTTGAGCACGCGTGCCCGGCAGCCCTGCCGTTGGAGCACCACCGGTAGATGGTGAAGTATATAGTACCGAGGAATCCTCTCTCATTTGCGAATTGTGGATAGTCCTAGGGAGGAACGAGGGACAAGACTGACATCGGAGATGCGAATCCACTTTGGAACAGAGTTTGGCTTCTGGGCTTGTAAAATCTGGGAGTATGCTTGTCGAAGCATTATCCGGAATGGTACCCGCAAGAAGCAAGATTTCTTGCTTCGTGATGGCCGATGGGGAGGATTGATGCTGCGATGAGCATTGTTTGTCGTCAATGAATATGTTCGGGCTCCGAGGATAATCGACACCCCTACGGCGAGCTGGAAGCACTCCAAGCGCAAGCACGGTACGTGCATCCAGAGCGACCATCCCCGCACGAAATTATCAAACCACCACTCCACCACTCTACCAAAGCATTCTCGCAACAAGCTGCCAGCCCCATTGGTCGAACCGACCACTCCACAATGGCAGCATCCACCTCCATCCCGCGGACCCTCCTGCGTCTAAACGCATCCCGCCAACTCTCCGCCCGCCCTCTCCTCCAAACACCCTCCGCGCTCCACGCCGCCGCAATCCGCTACGCATCGTCGAAAACGCCGTCCGAAAACAAGCCCCGAATCCTCGAGAAGCCGGACAAGTTCAGACCGCCATCGCACGGAGCCAAGCTGCCCACGCGCAAGCGCCCCACGTATCAATATGGCCCGTCGTTGACGCCGGAGGAGCTCGAGGCCCAGAAGACCAAGAAGTACCCCAACATGGAGCCGCCCAAGGGGACGTGGGCGTACTATCTGGTCAAGTCTGTGCGCTTCCACAGCTTCATCGCGTTGGTACGAACAGCCCCTGCTCCACCAAAGGGGAGGCATGTCCCGCTCCAAACACCTCACTAATACGGCCCTCCACAGTTCGTCCTGCTATCCTGCATGTACTGGATGTGGCTGAAGGAGTTCCTCGTCACGACGAAGCGGCGCGACGAGCTGCCGGAAAAGGGCGAGCTGCTCACGCACCCGATCCAAGCGATCCGCCAGTTCTGGACTGTCTACCGGCTGCACCTGGCGGACGGGACGGAAATCGCCCTCGAGAAGCGCCGCAAGAAGCAGGAGGACATTGACAAGCGCATCGAGTTCCGCGACCAGTTTGGCATCGCGCACCCCGGCAACCACCTCGACAGGTGGACGCTGGGCGAGGAGGAGTATGCCAGGCGCGATGCTGAGGGCCGGAAGCAGAGGAATGAGGAGAGGGACAAGAGAGATGCGCTGAGGAGAGAGATGAAGGAGGCGGAGAAGCAGGCGGAGCGTGCCGCCGCGGGTGAAGAGCAGGAAGCGCAGCCCAGGAGGAAGCCGAAGATGTGGTTGGGGATTTGGTAAGACGTAAAAAGAATTTGGGAGGCTTCAAGAGATGCTGTTCATAGGGTGGGTGCGTGATGCCGTTAAGTCATATGGGGTGGAGCTTGAGCTGATTTCGAATTCATGGTAGATGTCATGCATAGGAAACTTTCTCCACTCGGACGCAAGGCGAATAAGAGTACAGGTCAGATATCAGTCTTCGAACCTGATGGATTGGCGCCAAAGTTTTGCATTTTGTCGGCACTAACCCTGGCAAAGTGCCATTAAGGAATATGTACAAATCCCCAAGTCCCCCAAAGCCAATCCGTTACCTCGTCGTCCGTCGTCAAGTTTTCCGGGTCGAATTGTATGTCCAAGTCTAGCCGACCGCTTCCATGCCTTCGTAGATCGTCGTCCACTTGTAGGTACCCCATTACTTTCATCACGCATCACTCGTCTCTATGCACACAGACCGGCCACGCACGCGACCTCCTTAGAACCATCCCAAAAGCCACGGCACAGCGACCCTCCCCGCTGCATTCGGCGTCGCCACGAATGTCGTCCCCACGGCCACGAAGCCGCCGGTACTATCCGTCGTTGTCACCTGGACGAGACTTGATGTCGCCGAGACGCCCAAAGTGGTGGTACTCACGCTGTATCCGCCGGCAACGGTCGACCCGCGAATGGTGCCGGTGCACGCAGCGTTGACAGGACAGCACGCGACGTGGCCGGCCTGGTCGAGGGCGCAGTTGGTGTTGCGGCGGCAGCAGAGGCCCGGCGCGCCCAGCGCAGCGCACGCGCTGTACGAGGTCGGACACGTGGTGCCAGCGCGCTTCTGGAGGAGGCCGGGGGTGTAGATGCGAGGCGCGTCGGTGGGGGCGGGCGTGGTTGCGGGCGCCGAGGGCAGTGGTGTTGCAGCAGAGGCGTTGCTCCCGTTGACGTTGTGGTTGGGCAGCGCGTAGTCTTTGCGACGGTAGCCTTCGTCGGCGGGCAGGACTGCTTGCCTCTCGGGCATGTTGATGGCGATGCCAGGGAGGAATGGTGAGAGTATTATCGGTGCATCGAGTTGCTCGGAGTCTGGCGCCCCGGCTGCCTCTGGATTGACGTCTGCATTGAGCCGCTCTGCACTCGCGGCGATTCTTGTGACGGCGAGAGAGAGCAGCACTAGTCGCAGAGGAGAGATGGCGAGCAAAGGCCGCATTCTCGACCTAGCTGACCGAGCGACGGACCAAGGCGAGGGTTGGGAGGTTGGAACGACGAGTGGAGAGCCAGAGGCCGGGTAGAGCTGTGGAATGTTGCTGGGATGATGGCGGCGGCGTGTAAAACAACGACGTTGTTTGCCTCGAGTAGTAGTTGGTGGGTTGGGCTGAGGCGAAGAGAATTAGTTTGCTACCCATACAGACGGAGGTTGCATCTTGGGTGAACTTGCCAAATTGCTAGAAGGGACGGGCGTGCAAGGGGAAAAGAAGGGTTGCTAATAGAGAGGCTGGTATCTCGAGTCCCGTCCCCATGCATGCAGGCCGTAGGTGGTTGGTTGGACCATCCCGCCAGTGTTGCCAGGGTGAAAGCTCCGAGCGAGTCATGTTTCAACGTCACCACCACCTTTTTGGCTCCTACAACATTGACTAGGTACTTCAAAGAGGACTGAAAGCTTCTGGGGAATTTATTGTGAGATTTTAACATCTATGTTGGCAATGCTGGGAGTATCATCTCCACACAGCGAACTACATGTAGCCCCGCCGCTAGCAAATCAACATGAAGCGATTGTCTTTTTCAAGTGCCTGCTTCACAGCAGCTCATTGTTACCAGTCTGAATCCCATCTAGGAAATGCTAACGACCGATGCCCATGTCCTCGTTCTGAGAACGACCCCTCGTATGAAGTTGTCTGATCAGACAGAATCCCGACTTGCTAAACGCCGTGAGTGCCATGCACAAAGACCAGAAAACGCCGCGGGACAATCTCAGTCGAAAACCCAGTCCCCAAACCTATATACAAAGGAAATGAAGGAACGGACGGAGCGAAATTGATGACGGCTTTTGATGGCTCGGCTCACAATCCACTCACACCGCGATACCTCTGCGCAGCCATCCACCAGGTCCTCTCCAAGCCCACAACCACAGGCCGCAAGCAACCCACACACTGATTGCCATGGCCCAGAATGTCGGAGCATAGCAATCTTTTCCGTAGCAAAGAATGTCATCGCCGTCCGAGCCATCGGTAGGAGGCACTACGTTGGCTGCGGCGCTGCCCCAGTCGTAGAACGCACTGTAGATGACGCCCCAGACAGCCGCTCCGGCTGCCGGCATCATGGCCACGATGCCCCAATTGGTGCCAAAGTTCTCGACACCCCACACGGCAGCAATGATGATGGGACAGAGCGAGAATACGGCACCGTAGCCGGCGCCGATGAAGGCGGATACAACCCAGAAACGTTCCGCGTGACCCTGCACCACACCTGATGCGAGCAGAATCTGACCCAGCGAGGCGAGGAGCGCAAAGAAAATGAGGAACACGATTCGGGAGATGCTGAAGCGTCGTCGCGCTGGAAGCGATGCCATGGAGTTCTCGATAGAGTCTGGCCCTTGTCGGTGATGGGGCGAAGAGTGAGCAGGCAGCGGAGCGACAAAGTCGGAAACTGTGCCGGCAAAGAGACGTGCGGCGGTAGAGGTGATGGCTACGATTGAAACGTGAGTCGCCGGCGTTGTCGAGTGCTGAGAGATGGATGGCGTGTAGAGAGTGCCAATGATGGTACCCAGGTTGTTGATGAAAGCTTCACCCGG